TTCTGTTTTTGTCATTCCTGATGGTCCCCTTAAGGGTACATCAGCATCTGGTCGTTCCACCATCTCTAGATGGCTCAGACAGACCATCACCCAAGCTTATGGTCCTACAAAGAACTGTGAGTGCTTTTTGGGATTTTCAGCATCAAGTAATCGTTTTGCAAGATTGCCACCTGGTACTCTTTTTACACATTCTCTAAGTTCTACCAGGTGGATGATCAGGCCTTATCTATTGCCACTTCCGAAAGTAAGGTCCTTCAGGCAGCTCTTTGAGCTGAAGACAGCCCTCAGTTCTGTTGTTTTTTTTTCTTGGTATAGTTGGCCCACCCCTCAGTTGGACTGCTTTTGACTGTAACAAAAAGAGAATGACTGACTTCCTATGTCCCTAAGTGGATAAGAAAGAGAATAGAAATGTTGTACTCGGCATAAAATATATTTTTTGGGCATTCACAGGGACACGTGTTCCACCCCCCTGTGTTTTTAATCATGCTCTTAGCACTGCTTGCTACAAAACTGAGGCATGCTGGTTGTAGGAGGGGTTATATTAGGCTGGCTTACCTTTTTTTGTTTGTCAGTGTCCAATCCTCCTGTGTCCAATGAGTGTCCCTCATTAGACTTCAAGAAACATTTTTGGTGAGTACAAAAATCCTATTTTTGTGGATAACAGATTTGGCTAGTCCAATAGGATATGATATATATATACATATATACATATATATACATCTTTTAAATATACTTTGATTTGCTTGTGTAAACACTGGCTTGATTTACTAGAATCTCTATGATATTAATTGCTTACTTTCATAACGTGACCTTACAGATGCACCCATTGGCTTCTATGTTCCTGTGATATTTCTTTTGAATGGCATATTGTTTTTCCGGCCAAAAAATAATTGCATGGCTTTATTAGACAAAACAGGAAACCCTACAGTTACTGGAAGCATGATCAATGTAATATGAGTTCTTGATAGGTTTTTTTATTATTTTCTTTGATCATTTAATTTGTGTATTCTGAAGCATGTTCTTTCCTTTTTAAAGATTTTTTACGCTGATACTTTTCGGTGCGTGAAAAGGGTTGGGGGGTTATCAAACTAGAATATTTCATATGTCTGTTTTTAAATGTATTTCATATTTGTTTTTTGCTTAAAATGGAAGACCCTAAAAAAGAGTGCATCACATAAATGACTATGCGTCCTGCACGTAGAAATTTGAAACAGAAGAGTAGGTAAAGATTGGTACCTATACATTAATTTTTATGCAGGCATAACTTTTGAATATAGGAAATGCACATGAATCTAAAAAAGAAATGTTTAACCTGCAGTTTTTTTATGATTTAATACAGTCAGTGTTCTGCGTTGATCAGTGTTTTCATGCAATCATTTCAGTTGTAAGCCACACGGTGATGCGGATGTTCAGAGTGAACTATTACTGCAACTGTTTTAATGCAACTGAGTTCAAGATAGACAAGCTATTAATCACCTTACTCATCTTTTTTACCAGAGTTCGGAAGAAGGCAGTGGAACGGCGTAAGGAATTAATGATTGACAGAGCATGCAGGATGGAGACGTTCATGTATGAAATGGTGAGTTCATTGTGTATAGTCAGATGTTCTATTATTTTTATTAATTTTTTTTTTCTGTTCGCGCACGCCAGAGCCCCGCATCCATTACCGGCTGTTACATACATACTCTACAGCCGGCCGATTGCTTGTATGACACCAAGAAATGTGCACCCCCTCCACTGATATGAACCCCAGCCCCCCTCAAACTCTGCTGCTGGTTATGCCAGGCTCCGTTGCCCCCCCTGGGAATGGCACAGTGTCTGCTTTCAGTGATGACTGAGGAGAGATCAGCATTTGCAACTGCTGATCCCTCCTCCTCGCTCTCAAGTCGGACACGATGTGTATTACATTACTTCTGTCTTTAGCTGTCATTTCTCTGGCTGCTTTAGCCAGAGAAGAAGCTGGTGAAGAAGATATCTTTGGGGGTCACAAGGTGACATTAGGGGTCTTGGAGACCTCTTATGTCTCCATAAACAGGACCTGTTATTGTAAATTAGCTATCACATAGGGGGCTTGTTATCCACCTATGTAATGGCAATCAAGTGTAAAAATAAAATAAAAATTAAAGTTTCATATAAAATAATAAACACCCCATATAATGCGAAAACAACGATTACGCTGCACGTTACATATTGCCACAATCGTGAGAGTGTGAGCAATAATTCTAGGGTCATTAATCACTGATAACACTAAACTGATGAGCAGTAAAAGCTTTTAAAGTGTCGCCTATGGACAATTTTAGGCATGGTAGTTTTTTTTGCAATTTCGCGGGTGCACACAAATTTAAAGCTGGACATGTTTGGTGTGCATTTACCTGACATGACTTATATTTTAAATGGTGTGCATTTACCTGTCTTATATTTTACCAAAAAAATTGGGTACTGATAAATTTTTTATAACATAACGTAGGGAAAACAAGTTTTTGTTTTCAAAATTTTCCGAACTTTTTTCATTACATAGTAAAAAATAAAATAATCCCCAGTGGGGATTAAATACAGCCAAAAGATAGCTCTATCTGTCCCCAAAAAATGGTATAAAATTCATTTCAGTACAGTGTTGCATGACGGAATAAATGTCAGTCAAAGTACCGCAGTGCTGAACACTGAAAAAAGGCCTGGACAGGAAGGGGGTTTAACACCCCGGTCAGCAAGTGGTTAAAATAAATAAAACTCATACAATTGGTTAAAATTCTCTAATATAGACAACGTATCACACATAATCTAACATACAGCATGAACTTTACAAATATGTGCATCTGCAAACTTCCCAGGAGCAACTCATAGCCCTTTTGCTGAATTAATGGATAAGTCGTGTCCGGATTTGCTATCAAAAGGTAAATGAGTATTCTTTTTACCACAAACACTACAAATAGATTTATAAACATAAATGTATATTGCAGCTTGCTTGAAGTTTATCTTTTATCCTGTTGTCACTTGTCACTTCCCTTGTCCCTAAATGTTCTCCTTTTCTTTAGCTTTATTCTAAAAATACATAATACAGTATATGGGTGTTTGTGGTGTACATAACAGTTTATTTGCATGAACAGAAAAGGTCATGTTTTGGCAAAAGATGCAATTGTGCATTACTGGACTACGTCACGGTTGCATAGTTTGACAACCATGGAAATCCGTTTCCTTGCCTTGACACAGTAATGGCAATTTTAAAGATCAGGTTTTCAAGGCATGAGAGGGGGCAAGAAGGAAAAAAAAAAGAGAGACATGAAAAGGAGTGAAGAAAGGAGTTGAGAAGTAAAAGAAAATGGAAGGGACAGGGGTGTAAATGGAAGGGAAGTAATAGGCTCTGGGTAGGTAGAAAGAGTAAGGTCAATGCTGGACAGTTCTCCTTGAAGGAAATCATGTGCTATGATCAGCTGATCAAGAGCTTTGCAATATAGAGGATATACACTGAGTGGCCAGATTATTCTGACCACCCCATCAGTACTTTGTTGGGCCACCCCTTGCCTTCAATACTGCAGCGATTCTTCTTGGCATTGACTCCACGAGATGTTGAAAGGTGATGCAAGGAATCTTGACACCATGCCTGATGAATAGCACTGTCCAGTTCGGTGAGATTTGATGGTTGTGGAACCAGCTGCCTGATGGCTCTTTCAACAACGTCCCACAAATGCTCAATTGGATTGAGGTCTGGTGATTGTGGGGGCCACCTAAGCAAGGTAAAGTCTCCCTCATGTTCTTGAAACCACTCCTGCACAATACGAGCACAGATTATACTGTTAGGGAATCCAGATGGAAGGAAAGATGTATGTTGGATTCAATCCATGGGGTCCATAAGCTTCAAAATTTAGACATGGTACTATACTGCATCTCCAAACGGTTTTCATTTTTCCTGGACCTCTGCAAATGGAAAATTTGGAAAAAAATATTTCATGTCCAAGCGAGCAGCCTTTTGGCAGGTGTAAGACTATGGGTTACTAGTTTGAATTGCGTGGCTGTAAGTGTTGGTTATTTTGTTGAAGAGGTCCTCGTTGGGGTCCTTAGGAAAAGAGGTGCCAGTCACTGTATAAAAGTGCTAGTAGGCCCAGGACCATTTAAAAAAAATATTATTATTTGGCAGTACTCTCTAGAAGTCTTTAAATACTTTTTCTGTGGAATAGTCTCTGTTCCCTGAAGAGTAGAACTATAGAGTAGTGTTGGTAGGTGAAGAATAACAATTATAAACAATATATTTGTCTCTATTGTTGCCCTATTGTCCACAGTTTCTAGAAAGTTTCCCCCTCCCACACGCCTCAAGTTGCAACTTTGACCTTGTACATATACTTTGGCATTAAAGAATTTGAGGCATGCAGTGTAACAAGATAACACACAAAACTTCCACCTCTCCTGGAAATGGTGCATGAACAAAATAAAGATTACTGTTTGAGCAGAGCTTACTGTTGTGTAATGGGGAGGACTCCATCAGCTAAGGTTTTGCCATTGGCTGTATTACTATAGATGGCTTTCTCAATTTAAAATGGAAACATGGCCATGGACTCCCATTCATTTAAAAATACTTTGTTCTTGAAAGGCAACCGGTGGTCTTCCAAAGCATTTCAGCAGTCTTTGGTACCCAAAACTTTGTACAGTTATCAGACCTAAATATTGAACAACAGACTTTTTAACATTCTTCCAGTTTTGAGAAAAACATGGAAGTTCTCATTCGGCATCAGGAAAGTATTATTTCTATTTGCTAGGCCATGTTGTTACAGTCTGCAGATTTACATGGAGGGTTACCAATGTTAACTGAAGAATATGATATGTCAGGCTTGGGCAAAGTGAGTTTGTTGTTTGGCATAAAGTCCAGAAAGCCGTTTTACAGTTTTGGCTGAGTTTGTGTAACGTGGGGGCAGATGGAACCTTGCCCCTTTCCACTCACAAAGACAAAAGGTAAATCTTGTTCATGTTCTTCACAGCTTGCCTACAGTCAATAAACGCACCCCCATCCCCCCAAAAAATGTACCTTTTAAATATCCAAAATGTAGATATTGATAACTTTGGTATACCGAGATTGTATTTGCATATTCTGAGAACCTACACACTAGCATTGCAGGGTTTCTTTTTTTTATTATTTTGAGGGATGCATCACTGCTTTTTAAAGTTGCAAATAGCTGGTCTAGTTAGTAATGTTGATAATAGATTGTTTGATATTAAAATAAATGTTGTTGAAGCACTTGAATTGAAAGTCTCTAAAAGAATAGGATATTCACAAGGGAAGGGAGCTAAAAGCTGTTTCAAACATTTACACATGAGCCAGTGTCATATGATATGGGGTACCAGATAACTACAGAAACAAAATGCCAACAAAACAGGTCTGATGGGATTGAAACTTTGGCTAGAGATATGATACTTCTTTCTTTATTGCCATCTTAATCAGGAATTGCAAATATCTACATACCTGTGGTAGCTTCTTGTATTTGAATGTTTCATATAGTTTTTGGGCGCAACAGTAATAGAAACCTGCTTGTAACAAAATGCTGATGTATGTTTCTGCGTTATAAATGCTAGTTGGGGATCGAGCACCAGTTCTAAGCAATATTTTGCCTGCAGTCCCCCATTTGCCTGCAGTGAACTGATTTATAATACTCAAATGCAAGTACTGCTACATTATCACAACTAAAACAAATACTATACAGACACTGTCTGATATTAAATAAGTGTACAGGCAGTTTATACACGAAGAATAGTTCCCTATTATTATATAATTTTATATATATGTATATTGTAATTTTTTTCAATATATTTCTCTAGGAATCTCGTGGTGTAGGAAGGAGGCCAGAGGATCCTTCAGACATGGTTGATGAGGGGGAACTGGTGTTAACCATGAATTTGGTATATCCAATGATTTTCCAAAAGGTTTGACATTATACTATTTAAATTAAACACCACCAGCCTCATATTAGCTTTGTTATGTATTTTTGTTACTTGTCACAGTAAAGGACAGGTTTTAATCCTGCATGCCCATATATGGACATTGATTAGAAAATAAAGCTTTGAGGAGTTAGTGTATAGAACAGAGCTCAAACACATTGGGGAAACTTCATAAGGAGTGTCTACAACCCTCTTTAGAATTCTGTCATGCATCCAAACAACAAATGTCAGTGCTTGCTCTAGATTGATTTACCTGTTAGAAACAATTACATAACTTTGACCAAGCACTGACATTTGTTGTTTGGATGCATAGACACTCTGTCCTTAGTGCAGCTTAGTAACACTGAGCCTGATAAATTTACAGATTAAGCATTAATGAGCTCTTCCCCCTCCAACCACTGCACATGTCACACAAACAAGTGCAGCGAACGAGGACTTATACGGAGGGTGGGTGGAGCCTGATGGGGATGCTGAGATACTTGTTCTTCATCAGGTCTGCTTTGCTACTGATTGACAGCAGGCAGTGAGTGGATTCTATAGCCAATAACAGACCAGCTATTGGCTGTAGAATCTACCCACTGCCTGCTTTCAATCATTTGCAGAGCAGACCTGATAGGAAACTAGTACCTCAACATCCCTTATGAAACTCCACCTACTTGTAGCATCACTTAACCACGGATGCTGACAGTGGGGGAGGAACCTCATGGGGACACCGAACATCCCCATCAGGTTCGGCATCACCAGTTTTTTAGGAAGCTGTTGGCATCTCTCGTGTGCACATACTATGTTCTCTTGCAGCTTCCTCCGTACTGCCTTCTCTGTTTTCCCTCCACCACAGTTTTTGGAAGCTGCCCTGTCTACACATTTTACTCTGGCTGCTTTGCCCTATGTTGTCCGTAGTTCTTGGGTGCTGCCTTGTCACCACTTATGTGTCACAGTCTCTGGTATTCTGTGCTTCCCATTCTCACTAATGCTTTCCTTTCTATTCCATGGCAGCCATAATTGAGGCATGTGCTAACATAACGCTATGGTGTGAACAAACACTTAAAGTAGCAGAAGGGCCCGTTCACATTATAGTGGTGACTTACCTTTTTCTCCACCGGAAAAACAGGTCACCACAAGGGCACATAGAAACCTATTGTTTTTTAAGTGCTCTGTTCACACGTGAGTGTGATGGGCGGTGTGCTGCAGAAGAATCCAGACATGCTGCATTTTTCTGCAGTGCACCGAATGCCACTGCAGGTCACTGCACAGCACACCACACTGCTGTGCAGGGACCTATATGGAGTGTACACTACCAAATAAAGTAAAAAAAAAAAAAAAAAAATGCAAACAGTGACGCCCTCTAACGTAGTTGCCACAACACACTAGCCCATCTGCAAAAATGCTCGCTCTTAGGCCAGGTTCACACCTGGGCGATCCATGGAATCGCACACCATCGCTGATCGCACTGGTGGTGCCATTATTTTCTAATGGCACCGCAGTCGCGCCAGGCAGATTGCGTGGTTTACCGCTGCGATCACGGCTGAAAAAAAAACCACATGGTGCCTGTCGTGAACAAAGGTACATGTACTTTATTTCAGCGATTGCCACGCAGATGTAAACCCATTGAAATCGATGGGGCCGCATAGCAGCCACTGTGTGCAATCTCACATTTGCGAGGTCCCAAGTCTGCACCAGCCCTCAGCGGACGGGCTTGTGTGAACAGGCCCGAAGTGCATAACAATGGTGGAGGAGGACGACGCTTGGCAGTTCATCAGTCGCAGAAGTGAGTGGGATTTGTCCACTTCTAATGTACATGCACTTTCTACAATACCAATAGAACTTAATTTCAAAATTTAAGAATTTGTGGGGGTACTGTATTGAATGCTTTAGAAAAATCCAGATAAACTATATCCACCGGCCTTTCTCTAAATTGCCGTTTACTTCCTCATAAAATGTTGGTCGGTCCTGGATCAATCCATGCTGGTTGTTATTTATGATGCCATTTTCACAGGAACGTTCTTGAAGAGTCCCTTACTATTCCTTCCAATACCTTGCATACTGTTGATGTTAGGCTGACTGGTCAGTAGTTACCTGGTGTACACCTCGAACCGTTTTTGAACAGTGGTACCACATTTACTTTTCACCAGTCAGTACCATTTTTGTCATTAGGTGTCCTTAAAAATTATGCAAGCCATTTGGTTCTGGAGATTTGTTTGTATTAAAGTTTGTCTAGTCTTTTTTTCCCTTTTGTGTTGCACTGCCATTGTAGGGTTTTAATTTTAGCAGTAACACTAAATATAAGGCTTTAGGAACCACGTTTGTGTGGCTTATTGATTATTATTTTATTTTTTTATTTCTAAAGTACAGAAGTATATCTAATTCCGTTTCTTCATTGGTGACATGTTTTCTTATTTTACAGCATAAAGAATACAAACCGTATGAGACCATATTAGTGCTTGGCAGCCAGAGACTTACAGAACTGAGAGATGCTCTTAAGTGTGTCAGTGACTTGCAAATTGGAGGGGAGTTTAGCAACAATCCAGATTTGGCTCCTGAAAACATTTGCAAGGTAAAAGTCTCATTGGGGTACAATGAGTTCTTATTTCTGGGGCTGGCATTTAAAAAGGAACAAGGGGGTCAGATAGACCATAAATCATTGAACACACATATCTTCCATTGGGGAGCTTCATTGTTTTAGTTGCTGACATGTCCTGAGATATTTAGTTTTCAGCTAGTATTGTTAGGCTTGGTGATTTGTGGATCTAGTTATACCATTGTTACTATTCATTCTCTGCATCAGAACCTTTCCCTGCTCTATCCAAAACTGAGAAATGTAAACGTTTTGGCGTTACATTTTATAATTGGTGCCTCCATTTTTATTTTTTTTCTTAGGATCTTTTCAAATCCGCATTCTTTTATTTTGAAGGTATATTTTACAATGATATGAGGTATCCAGAGTGCAGAGAGCTAAGCAGGTACAATGCATCTAATTTCAGTTGTGTTAAATGTATATTCATGCCCTGTTCTGGAAACAAAAGTATATTAGATGGCTGGTTAGCAATTATTGGCATTGCTGAAGTTGTAGACACTCTTTGTATTCCGGATAACTTTGCAAACCCATGTGTTTTTTTTAAATTTTGCCTCTCTTCTTTCTGTTTAGTTGCAGCCCACTGTAGTATCATTAGGCCTCATGATTTGAAACTGTAAATAAAATGTATTTTATGGATAAAAAAATATTGAATACTATCCTTAATTTAAAGTAAAATACACAAATGGAGTGTTACAAACAAAAAGTTTACTTCAGAATAAAACTGCATGCACAATTTTTTTGCAATCACACTGCACTGGAACGCATGGTATTGGGGTACTGCATGTTCAAGTGTGGGCTACTGCATTGCGGGCGGGCGTCTCGTTTGGGGTGCCATTGAAATGAAGGCATCGCAATCCACCTCCCACACCACAATTTGTGATGCCGAACCCCACCTTTTTTAAGTTGTTTTTTTTATATGTATATAGTTAGGGGGGGTCTTCATTTTTTTAAAACGTTTTTTCTTTTTAATACTTTTTAAATTATTGTGTGTTTTTGTTGTTGTTTTGTTTACTTTGGGGAAATGGCAGGGGTCCCCTGATTATTTCCCTTTTGAAATAAAAAAAAGAGAGAGATTTAGTCCCCAATCTCTTTGTATGCAGCCCCAGCACTGAATGAACAAGAAGCACTCAGTACAGAGGCTTCTTGTTCATTCAAAAATCTAGGAAATAGTATCTGTTTACTATTTCCACAATCTTAAATGAACAGGAAGTGATGTAGAGCACTCCCTGTTCATTCATAATTGGGGACACAGTATCTGAATACTACATCCTCAATTATTTACAAACATCATAGTGATCAGTACTGATCACTGCAATGTTTGAATATTACAGGCAACTATATGTTTCACATATTTGCTGATCGTCCCTCAGCTCTCCTTCCCGCACCACCATGCTCCTGACTTGGCCCTGTCACTGCATTCGCATTTATATCTGTGAGTCAGCAGAAACCCTGTGTAACATCCAGCTAGGACGACCCAGCATAAATTAGTGACAGTTTCAGCTGCAGACTAGTTGGTAATTCACAAATACTGGTACAAAACTGCAAGCTTCACTTGCTATTCAGTAGGAGGCTGCTTTGATCAGCTTGATTGTATTTCAAAGCATAGTAAAATGATGCATGAATTTTGTATGTGGGCAGTGATGGGAGCAAAGGCACCTTAATTGTTCGGTCTGAGGCACTGATTAAGCATTTTCCCCGATCCTCCCAACTCTCCTCTCTTCTCATTTTCTTTTGCTTGCTTCACTACTTCATGTACTCTTTATTTTCAACAGAGAGCTCTCATTCTTACTGCCTATTTACAGCAATGCTCTCAAAACATAACTACTTACAAAGTGGGCACATATCATTAAATATAAGCCCTGTTGCCAGTGCAAAATCTATGAATTTTTTTTTTATGGTCAATTGAAGGGCACAGAGCTTAAAGGAGAACTATGGGGTTACATTTTTATCCCATAGTTCTCTTTAGCTTCACAGTGTGAAGGAATATGGATCATATCAAGAAAATGTCCTTTTCTATGTTTTAAATTGTTTTGAATTAGTTTCATTTGCTTCCTAGCTTTGTGACTCTCCTTACTCAGCTTTTAGCGTTGCTATGCGTAACCAAGAGAGATATCCTGTATTCGGGAGCGCGCCAAGGACACATCGGAGGAATGCCGAGGGAGGACGCTACAAGCAGAAGATATCTTTGACTAACCAATTAGCGAGAGACACGAGACTTTAACTAACAGTTCCTCTAGTTTGCCCAATAGTATAATAACAGAGGTGGGCATATGTGTGACGAGCACTCTCCTGTTATCTGTGTATAAAGGAGAGAGACCGCCCTGAATAAAGCAGAATCTTCATAGACCGTTAATTCTGAGTTTGTGATTTCTCCGGTGCACCGTACACAAAATAATTAGAAACAGCAGCAGACATCTTGTGTGAACCCAGTTGTGGTTCAGATCCATTTCAGCAGGAGGACATATACCAACGTCCTCCCGTGACCCAAATCTCAGTATATAGTAGGGATGCTCCGATACCACTTTTTTAAGACCGAGTACTGATACTTTTTTTTCAAGTACTTGCCGATACCAATTACTGATACTTTTTCTGAAAGGGACAGGTCACATTTTTTCTAAAGCAATACAAAATCATGAAAATGATACAATCATACAAAATTATTTTATGTCAGTTTCTTAATATTATGAGCACATGTCCAGACTCCAGACCAGAACACTGTATAGTGTGGCACAGCTATATCCAATTCTGCATACCTGGAATTATATTATAAGAACTTTATACTATAAAGCCAAGTATGCAGAATTGAATATAGCTGTGCCACACTATACAACAATACACTGTTCTGGAGTCTGGACATGTGCTAATCTATTTTCCCCACTATGTGAATACAAGCCTTAGTTAGCAATGGCATGATCAAATATTCAGTTCATTTAATTATTCAATGTCTTTTTTTAAAATATTATAAAATGTATAATTAAAAAAAAAGACATTGAATAATGAAATTAATATTTAGATCATGCCATTGCTAACTAAGGCTTGTATCCCTATAGTGGGGAAAATAGATGAGCACATGCCCAGAACACACTGTAGTGTGGCGCACAGCTATATCCAATTCTGTATAACTGGCTTTATATTATTATTACATTTTTTTATAATATAAAGCCAGGTATGCAGAATTGGATATAGCTGTGCCACACTATACAGTGTTCTGGTCTGGAGCCTGGACATGTGCTCATCTATTTTCCCCACTAAGGGGATACAAGCCTTAGTTAGCAATATCTACATAGTTATTTCTTTATTTAATGTGTTTAAAAAAAAAAATATTATATGTAGTTAAACAGCATTTTTGTGCCCAGCCCCCGTGCGGTGCTGCAGTACTAACCTGCTGTGTCTTCTCCGTCTGCTTCAGCCACTCCCTGTCACAGCCTAGTCATCTGCTCCATTCTGACCTCTTCTCTCGCTGATTGGCCGATTGGATGATTGACAGGCTTCCTCACCAGTCACTCCTGACTGGTGAGGAAGCTTGTCAATCATCCAATCAGCGGGAGAAGAGACCAGAATGGAGCAGATGACTGAGGACTTGGAGGCGAAGTTTACTTTCGGCCATTCGCCCGTGGAGGAGTTTGCGGCCATCTTGTTTAATTGAAGACGCTATGGAGGTCCTGTGTGCGGCGGTTTCGGGTCCTTGAAGATTGTTGTATGGGAGTATTTGTACGAGTAATACAAATACTCGGTATTCCGCCGATACCGATGCTTGTATCGGTATCGGAGCATCCCTAGTACATAGAGAGCTATATACTGAGTGCCGCAGCCAGGATGTATCCTGACAACACTGTCCTGATCTACCCAGCTGGCTGACAGCCGGCTCTGCCCATCTAGTGGCAGACAGATTCCCTGCTTAGATCCCAGTTTAATGTAGCTGGAATGACTGCACCCTGCATTTTGGTGACCATGATCTGTGAAACTGACACTTTGGGTTAAGTCCCTTAAAGAGGACCCTGACATCACCAGGGTAGGGACTTGTTTTATTGAATGTTTGCAGCAAATATCTCAAGAGGTTGTGCCTCAACTGTGATGGCATGTTGCAACTGCATAGGGCAATTTGGCTTCATGCCTGTGACAACAATGATACATCCAAGGAGCATCTCACACTGTTCTTTTGTGTGATTTCACCTCTTCGATCCTGCTTTTGACAATGTCATTAGCAATGCCTCTGGTGGATGGAGTGTACTCCTGCCTCAATACAGGAGGTCAGTGGAAGGGGAGGAACAACTCCCTTCTTCAATCTTCTACAGCCGTAGTAGCTCCTAGGCCTTCCTCCCAATAAAGTCCCAGCGTGCATTTTTGGTTGCTGGGCCTCCAGTGCGTCCCTGCACCTTATTAGGAGGAGTAGGCCACCGCCCAGGTACACCTGCATGTAATTTATCAACTTCATTAATATGCTCACACTTGGAGACTCGGATACATAGAGTTAGGACCACACTTTGCAGAGGTGCCTTGACGCGGCAGTGTGGCTTCTACATATTTTTGGCCAAAAGTTTGTGCAACTAAACCTCTGATTTTAACGCATACTGTTGACAGGGCTACTTGTTTGGTTGCAGGCTGGCTGGCAGGTTGAGGCTGGGGAATTTTTGTGTTTTGTATTTCTTCCCAACTTCCTCCCAATAAAGCCTTAGAGCTTGAAGCCACATCTCCTCTAACTCCTCTGCTCAGCCTTCTGCCTGAAGGTGCACCCTAACTTATTCAGGTGGTAGGCTATTTGTTCATCCAGCTGTGTCTCTGGGAAATGCATCTCCCCAGAGTTTGGGTGCTCAGGTCACCCTGGGTAGGCTAAACACCTGAAATTGACAGTTTGCCCAGCTGTCCCTCATCAGTTCTCTAATAAAACTAATCTCAGGGATATATCTGTTTTGTTTTGCGTTCTCTGTACTCTGGGACTTTTGCTATCTTCCTTGGGTTTAGTCTTTCTTCGTATTGGCTAACCATCAGTCTTACCCCTCTACCGAAGGGTTTCCTCTCCACAGGGGCCACATGAATCATTTAAGGCTGTTTCTAAGGCTTCCTCACCAGTCACTCCTGACTGGTGAGGAAGCTTGTCAATCATCCAATCAGCGGGAGAAGAGACCAGAATGGAGCAGATGACTGAGGACTTGGAGGCGAAGTTTACTTTCGGCCATTCGCCCGTGGAGGAGTTTGCGGCCATCTTGTTTAATTGAAGACGCTATGGAGGTCCTGTGTGCGGCGGTTTCGGGTCCTTGAAGATTGTTGTATGGGAGTATTTGTACGAGTAATACAAATACTCGGTATTCCGCCGATACCGATGCTTGTATCGGTATCGGAGCATCCCTAGTACATAGAGAGCTATATACTGAGTGCCGCAGCCAGGATGTATCCTGACAACACTGTCCTGATCTACCCAGCTGGCTGACAGCCGGCTCTGCCCATCTAGTGGCAGACAGATTCCCTGCTTAGATCCCAGTTTAATGTAGCTGGAATGACTGCACCCTGCATTTTGGTGACCATGATCTGTGAAACTGACACTTTGGGTTAAGTCCCTTAAAGAGGACCCTGACATCACCAGGGTAGGGACTTGTTTTATTGAATGTTTGCAGCAAATATCTCAAGAGGTTGTGCCTCAACTGTGATGGCATGTTGCAACTGCATAGGGCAATTTGGCTTCATGCCTGTGACAACAATGATACATCCAAGGAGCATCTCACACTGTTCTTTTGTGTGATTTCACCTCTTCGATCCTGCTTTTGACAATGTCATTAGCAATGCCTCTGGTGGATGGAGTGTACTCCTGCCTCAATACAGGAGGTCAGTGGAAGGGGAGGAACAACTCCCTTCTTCAATCTTCTACAGCCGTAGTAGCTCCTAGGCCTTCCTCCCAATAAAGTCCCAGCGTGCATTTTTGGTTGCTGGGCCTCCAGTGCGTCCCTGCACCTTATTAGGAGGAGTAGGCCACCGCCCAGGTACACCTGCATGTAATTTATCAACTTCATTAATATGCTCACACTTGGAGACTCGGATACATAGAGTTAGGACCACACTTTGCAGAGGTGCCTTGACGCGGCAGTGTGGCTTCTACATATTTTTGGCCAAAAGTTTGTGCAACTAAACCTCTGATTTTAACGCATACTGTTGACAGGGCTACTTGTTTGGTTGCAGGCTGGCTGGCAGGTTGAGGCTGGGGAATTTTTGTGTTTTGTACTTCCTCCCAACTTCCTCCCAATAAAGCCTTAGAGCTTGAAGCCACATCTCCTCTAACTCCTCTGCTCAGCCTTCTGCCTGAAGGTGCACCCTAACTTATTCAGGTGGTAGGCTATTTGTTCATCCAGCTGTGTCTCTGGGAAATGCATCTCCCCAGAGTTTGGGTGCTCAGGTCACCCTGGGTAGGCTAAACACCTGAAATTGACAGTTTGCCCAGCTGTCCCTCATCAGTTCTCTAATAAAACTAATCTCAGGGATATATCTGTTTTGTTTTGCGTTCTCTGTACTCTGGGACTTTTGCTATCTTCCTTGGGTTTAGTCTTTCTTCGTATTGGCTAACCATCAGTCTTACCCCTCTACCGAAGGGTTTCCTCTCCACAGGGGCCACATGAATCATTTAAGGCTGTTTCTCTTGCTGATAAGGACCTGTAACATCCTTCTTATGTACCAGCTCTAAGGAATTCATTTTACATTTATCCTAGTACCTTTTCTTGGCATCCCAGTTGCAAAATGCTTAGGTGGACCTACTGCACTTTACCTACCCCAACATTTGAGGCTTGTGGGGTAATTAGGAACTGCCATTTTATTATGGTCAACCCCCTCTCTTGGGTTTTCTCATCCACCATCAGTTTCACTTTAGGTGTCTGGCTGTATGGTCATAAGAGGAAACATCCAGATAATCCCTTTGGACCAAGAAGTTCTTGATGGTCAGTCTTTTTGTGGGGACATTGCAGTGTTTTGAGTCACTTTAGGGAAGATGCCTTTGTATGGTTGGTCTCCACACTCGGGGGTTTCATCTGGTTCACCAGGCACTTTCCGGCAGCGCTGTGAATCCCGACAATATTGTTGGGCACTATCCCGCCTCCAGCTCGGCTCTGTGCGGTCAGCATATAGCAGGTAGTAGCCCACTATATGCTGAGTTTGTGTCATGGGAGGAATGAACTCCTGTGACCAAAAGAGAACTAGAGCCAAAAAATTTAAATGTTTGCCTTTAATTCCCTTTTAAAATGTTTGCTGCACAGTGCAGTTTACGTAATCATCTTTAAACTTTTAAGCTGAGATTTAAAGTTGATGGAAGGGATTTTTTGGGGGTAGTCAGGGATGACACCTTAAGTTGTTTACTGTTGTCGAGAAGCTGGCCAATCAGGAAGCTGGGCGGCGAGTCATTACTCTCCCCCTGGCTTCCTAAATGAACAGAAAGCCGGCTCCATGCTTCCTCGTCGTCTGGTGAGCATGGAGCCAGCTTCCTGGCCAATCCGTAAGCGGGGCAGCATGTGATGACTCGCTGCCCAGCTTCCTGATTGGTTGTAAAGTTGGCTCCATACTTGTCACTCGGTGATGAGGAAGCATGAAGCCGGCTTCCCGGCTAATCAGGAAGCTGGGTGGCGAGTCATTACATGCCCCCCGGCTTTTCTTAATGGGACTTCGGTATAGACGAGCACCGGGAAAATAAATATCGGTACTTTATAACGAAAACCCGGTATCCGGGCATCCCTATTGGTTGCACACCCTTTTCCTCCTTATAGAAACTCTTATCCTGCTTCTAAGGTGAGGAGTGAGGAGTGCGAGGCTTGGGCCTTCTCTGCTTCAATTTTGCCCAGCTTGTCTTTTCTGTGGACCTATATGTTGTATGTTGTTTTTTCCACGCATCAACTTGATGGATTGCTGGTTAGTTCTCCAGTCTCACTGGTAGTGGCCTATTGCTCCTTCAGTCATGCGCTTCCCTTGACTGTGTTTACTTATCCAGCTCTGGAACATCGGGTAACTCCTCTGGCCTCCCCTTGGTCGTGGCAGTTTTCATGCCTTGGCAGAGGGTTCCTCCCCATCTAGCTTGATTTTTAGATTTGGTTCCTTCAGATATCTATGATATACCATAGTCCTCCTAAATTATTTTGGGTCTATCAGTGGATGTGCGACTGTTTTTGAACGTCCCAACTGTAATATCATTTCTAAAATGCTATGTCCCCCAATGGATGATAAAGAAAAATCTTTTTCTTCAAGTCTACTGAGGGACACGGGTCCTGCCCTTTCTTGTACCGATTGCTCACAAAACTGTCCCAACTTCCTCTAGGTGGCAGTAAACTGTAATAGAATTCCTAAATTTCTGTGTCCTAGACTTAAAGAAAAAACATTTGACAGTTCGCACAAAAATGTGTTTTTCTTTTTTAATTTTATTTTAACTTTGTGGTGGACCTTTGGCTAGCATAAAATGTTCCATTCTATGTAAAGACAAGTGGTGTTAATGTGAGATTTGTTGTGGCTAAAGTAGCAGTTGTATATCTGTAGCCTTCCCCCTAATACCTCCTGCTCTCAGAAATGTTGGTCATTTGGAATGGATCTTTGCTGGAGCTTTTGCTTTTATCCGAGACAGTCATCACTGTTTAAAGCTGAACTCCTGGGGAAAAGAAGATTTACTCTTGCAGTAAGTCCACCTCCCTACTGCAAGGGTTAACTGCTCATTTTGCCTAGGAGCTGATGAATAAGTTGATTTTTACTTTCCCTTTTCACTGCTCCCACAGGCTTCCAGCCCCCCTAAGCCTTTTCCCTTCACTGCCCGATTGGTTACAGCTCTCCAACATCATCCCACACAATGCAGGAGCAGCACTCCTGCATTGTACATGAGGTTGCAGAGGGCTTGCTCACTTTCCAGAATGTCCGACAGTGAAGAAGAGTGTTGGCTGCTGAGGGAGTGAAGAATAGGGTAAGTATATTACCTTTTTCAGTATCGCCCTAGGCAAAATGAGCAGTTATTTATATATATATATTTTTGTTGTTGTTGCAGAGTTTAGTTTTATTTAACAGTGTTTTGCACTCAATAACATTTGTTTGGTTTTGCAGAACTATAATTGAATGGGCTGAATCTCGTGAGCGAGGCTACGGTAAATTTCAGGTAGCTAAGATGGAGGACTATACTTTTAATGACCTCAACATAAAAATTGGTTTCCCTTATCTGTACTGCCATCAAGGAGATTGCGAGCATATTGTAACCATTACTGATATAAGGTACGTATATGGATGATTTTATGTTGCACTTGAAAGTAAACATTATCTTGTGTGATTTGAATAAGAACCAATTAACTGATTTCTAATGTGGAATCTTTAAAACAGCAAACAAGTGTCGGAAACAAGAAAAAAATATAAAGTGATACAATCAATCCACTACATGTGAAACAATATAAAGTTTACAAAAGAAAACCGATACTTTACAGTGATTAATCCAAACATCCTGAAAACAAGTAATAAGTAACTTAAATAAAAATCATAAAAAAACCACATCAATGCAAGTGCCGTTAATCAATAAAAAAAACACGGCACTGTAATAGTTAGTATACCTGTGTACGATTAGAAGGTGATTTTTAACCAAGTGCTTCTAGGTGTCTCAGTGTGTAAAATTAAGTGGATCAGTCTATACACATTAAAAAATCCTTCACTTTTTTTACACCTTCATGTGCATTAATACCATAGCTGCAATTCCCCTGAGGACGTCGGTGGTGACGAAACATGTAGAGGCAGGTCTACCATACCAAACACGTTTGTTTTCGGACCGGCCGAATGGGATTTTTTGAATTTTAAAAGAAATTTTAAATAAACTATTTGTGGAACTATTACCCGATGATGAAAGATTTTTTCTTTGCATGACTGTGGGAAGACTTTACACTGAGGACTGATGGTAAAGAGCGAGATACGAAAGACGCCGCAGTAACGGTGTCCCATCAGACAAAGCGTTTGGGGCTGTCTGTTACAGCCGAAAGTTTGGGGTGAGTACGCACTCTATTAGGGGGATGTATTGATCTTAATACAAACCCCAGGAAAGCACTACCCTACCGAACATTGGAAGGCTCTGCCATTTGGCTTTGAAGCGGAGCTGTATACTACAGAGACTTTATTTGTTTATATATATTTTTTGTTAGCACAATTAATTGTCATTCACAATTATTTTCGTTTGTATTTATTTTTTTTTTTTTGTATTTTGTTTACCCACCTGAATTTTTTCAAGCATATGACTTGTCACTTAATGGTATTAATGCACATGAAGGTGTAAAAAAAGTGAAGGATTTTTTAATGTGTATAGACTGATCCACTTAATTTTACACACTGAGACACCTAGAAGCACTTGGTTAAAAATCACCTTCTAATCGTACATAGGGTTTATTAACTATTACAGTGCAGTGTTTTTTTTTTATTGACTAACGGCACTTGCAGTGATGTGGTTTTTTTTTATGATTTGTAGTTCACAAACACGACCATATGGTTTTTGATTCACCTACTAGCGCTGTTAATTTGGTTTAAACATCTTCAGACCCAGCGGTCTTTAATACAGCAGCTTGTATTTTATATCACAATATTTATTTATGTATCCGCACTAGCTGATTGCCGGATTCCTAAAGTCTACACAGCTTTGTAGATCAAAAATCAAACAGTTTCCAGATCTTTTTGGCTATTAAATCATTAGTTTCTGCCAAAATAAAACAGTCTCCGACTGTTCCGAAATTCCCCCAAAGGGATCTGGAAAGTGTTGGATTGTCTTTTGATCTACAAAGCCGTGTAGACTTAGGCTGGGTTCACACCTAGGCGTATGGAATATGCGTGTTTCGTGCCGCGCGTTTTTACAATGATTTGCTGTAAAAGAAACGCACGTTTTCGGGGATATCCGGCTGTATCCCAATGGATACGCGTGGCAAATACGCCCCAAAGAAGCTCCTGTACTTCCTTGGGCGTAGGGCTCTTTGCAGCGCGTTCCCAAGCGCTGTAAAACGCCCAGGTGGGAACCATGCCCATAGGTAATCATTGGTTTTCACATGTTGAGCGTTTTACAGCGCTGTAAAATGCCCAGGTGTGAACCAGACCTAAAGGAATCCGGCAATCCGGCAGGACGTTTTGGATTCATCACTGTAAAGTCACAGATCCCTGCCTGGAGCGGCTCCAGGCAGGGATGAAACTCCAGATGCCGGCGGCCGGCAGCGGCGGTGCCATCAGCTTATAGTAGAGCTATAAATGCCAGGTCCGTACGGCATACTGAGCTGGCCAGCTGGAAGCACTTTTGTAGCTCCGTATGCCGTACGTCCTTGGCAGCGAAAGGGTTAAACATTCAATTTATTTATTTTACACTATTCATGATATTTATTTAAATTATGTTAGTCACTTGTTACACTGAGGAGGTTTTCTAGCACTGTACAGTTTTTTTTTCACATGGTATAGGGTTTCTAAACCTTTTGTCTGGGGGCTTTTTAACCCCTTATCCTCAGTCCAGCCTATCAGTCTCCCAATTAGCGCGGATTATATATCTATTCATTTTGACTTTCATGAAGGTTTTCATGTACAGTATATGCTGGTGTATAGTCACATAGTTGTGTCTCTTAACATTCATTGGGGAACACAGAGAAATCTAGGGTATAAGCCCTGCGTAAGGTGGATAGACACCTGTTAAAAAGCAGAAGGATATTCTCCTCTCTCTGTGGCCTATACTATTCCTTTGGCAAGGGATCTGAATGGCCTGTTACTCTTGGATTTGACCTGCGTGGATTATACCTGAATATATTAAAGCATTTAGCTCTTTCCTGGAAATCTGTATAAAATATATCCAAAGCCATTTGTTTTTCAGTGGACATTTCCTGGTCGCTGTGGTGACTGAATAAACTTTGACAACTGGGTCAATGAGAGCTATTGCCAGTGGGGAGGCAGGGGTTGAAATGCTGGCGCTATTGTTAGGTAATGCAAAAGTTACAATTGCCTTTTGTGTACTCTTAACTTCCATTTGAAGTGCCATCCAGAGGGGAAAGCCTTGGCCACTCTATGCTGTCCATTGCCCTGTCTATGGTAGAGTGTGAAAGTTGCTTGTTTACAGAAGTGAAGTGCTATACTAGGATCATGTAGTGTCTGTGTACTCTGACCATGCACAGTGTGTGGTAAGAGTAGGGTATTACAGCCAGTGACCATGGGTTAGAGCCCAGTATCCCGCATCCCAGGTCAGGTGATTATAAAGAAGTCTAAGGGTAACGCAGTGTCCCAGTACCTGGAGGAAGAGCTGGATGGTGAGTTTTGGGCTGATGTACTGGTTTCACTGGCAGGAGTTGCTGTGGGCTCAGTGCTGACCTCTGTGTAACAGCTGCTACTACTCTACTACTACTACTACTACTACTACTACTACTACTACTACTACTACTACTACTTCTACTTCTACTTCTACTTCTCTACTTCTTCTACTTCTTCTACTTCTTCTGCTTCTACTGCTCTACTAGCAAAAGGACAACCAAACTGCCTGGGTATGTCTATAAGAGACTGCAGCCACTGATTATACTGATAGTTCTGTTTCTGTTGTTACTCTTATAGTTAGTTTATCATAGCAGTTTGTTTATTTTCCTTTTCCGATTTGTTCATGACAATCAGAATATGTAAAAAAAGGCAGGTGTGTTGACAGTAAATTCTTACCCAGCCTGTAAAAACAAGAAAGGAAAGGAGTGAAATGCAGGGGCAAAAGAATGTGTACATTGGGGTTCTAAGTTAAGTTAAATTATATCTCAATGCAAAGTTTTTAGCAACGCACATAGGATGGCAATGTGCCTTGGGATGCCATGAGGGATCGCATGCAGCGTTACAGACGCTTCCCCATTGCAAAGGTGTGTACAAAAGCCTTTTTTTTTTTCAATATATGCCTCAGCAGAGTAGATTCACCCTCTGCTTGTCTTGGTAAGTGCTGTCTCAAAAGTGAAGGGAACCCCAACATTTTCTCTCTCTCCTTCTTTTTTTTTTTATTTATTTATTCCAGTGGGGACACCTGTTCTTGTGATTTCCTCCCACTTGGGAAAGATTTCATCTCACTTCCTGTGTCTTTTTAATTCTCCACGAAAAAAAAAGGCTTTGACCTAACTTGTCAAATGCAACAGGTGCCCTCAAGATGGCCATACATTGACTCAGTTTTCCACTAACCTACTGCAGCTATTTCCATTTTCATATTCTGCATACTTGGGTAGCTGATCAGTTCATATAATGCGATTGCCTTAGAGAACGCCTCAAAGTGTTGATGCGATGGTACTTAACACTTGATAGAATCTTAAGTTCTACCCTAATGTCTTCGTTTGCTGATTCCAGGGTTGTTGCTCCTGTTGTATTATGTTTAATATTTGGTGGGAGTGCCCTAATGTTCAGAGCCTCTGCTTTCCTGAGTCAGGAAACGTCTGTTGACCTTTGTGGATGAACAGCTTGCATTCCAGGTTTTTGGGTGCAAGAGGTGTCCCAGAGCTGCAAACTTGAGTTTTGCTCCCTTCCCCTCCTTGTTTTGTTACTTTTGTGTCCTGGGAACCTTGTCGGTTTAAGGGACTTGGTCATTAAAGGACTCACATCTCCTGATTAACATCTTGGAGCTTTGGGAGATTCTGTTTTTTTTTTTTTGACGATTTGGCATTGGACCAGCTTCTTGAAGGGCATTCCAATCTGAATTTAGTCAGGCAACACCACGGCGGTAGCATACGTCAATATCAGTCATCGGGAAAGTACCAGAAGTTTTGCTGCGGCAAGAGGTAGACCAGATTCTGATGTAGGTAGAGCTTTGTGTTCTAGCCAAGTACATTCTACGCATAGAAAACCGCCAGTGTCTGGACCTGGAAGAGTAGTCTCTATAACCATAGGCGTACAGGTTTGCATCTAGATGCAGAGAAGCAGTGGATTTCACGGTTGCACTGTAGGATCAAAGATGGAGGACATTTCTATGATCCTCTCTGCTCAGGCGGATGTGGTATGCTGACCCGGTAAGACTTCTAACATTTGTTCCATGGGCTCTGCCAGACTGTCCAGATCTACTGTCCCAAGGGCTGATTTGCCATCCTGCTTCTCGGCTGCTGAATTCAATTGTATGGATGTTAAATCCCAGGTTGTAAGAGACAGGGGCATCTATGACACTATTTATATGATGCTTCCGAAAGGTCTATTATTGGACATAGAAGACATACTTTACTTTGTGTGAGTCAAGGGACTTCCACCCAGGAAGCTTCTTAATGGGACAAATACTGTCCTTTCTGCAGTTAGGTCTTGTCCAATGTCTGGCTTTTAGCACCATCAAGGGTCATGTGTCTTTCCAGTCTGTTTCCGATGTGGGTTCCCCAGTTCGTTCACCTATGACTCCATGTAATATAAATTGGTTTCACTCAGTGCTTTTTAAACTGTTCTTTGAATCTGCCAGAGACATTGCTCTTTTTACTTGGTTTTCTTTTCTTGTAGCTATCACCTCTGCAAGGAAAATGTGTGTCTGAGCTGGCAGCCTTATGTTGCACAGAACCCTTTTTGGTCTAGACAAGTTGGAGTTGCTGCCCAGAACTTCCTTCTGGCTCAAGTCCATCAAAAGGAAGTTTTCCTCCATTGTCTGGATGTCGTTTAGGTTGTGCTGCACTGCCGTGCGTAGTGTAAAAAGTTTAATAAAATGTAAAAAAGAAAGAAAAGCAATCACTATGAAGTGTTTTACAATGCATCACAGTGTGCATGGGCAGTGCTAACACACAACGCATTATGCATAACTTAATATGAGCCCTTCAGTGTTGTTTAAAGCATTAACCACTTTTTTGTTTTTTCTTAAACAGGTTAATACACCGCGATGACTGCCTAGATAGGAATTTGTATCCATTACATACTAGAAGGCATTGGTTTTATTCAAGAAAGTGTTACGTGTGTAGATTGTATATTGCAAAGTAAGTCGTCGTCCCCCTCTCAGGACAGAGGTTTATTTTAAGCAGTCACTATTGCTAACTATTATGTTAAAAAAAAAGCCAATTCCCTGACTGTCACGCTTGTTCGGCAGATCTGCAGCAAGCAAGAACAATTCTGATACTAATTGGCAGTATGCATTTTCCAGAGCTGTGACTCAAAGTATTGAAGCCAGGCACCTAGCATTACCAGTCCCTTTAATTTATTTTAGACTTGGGGTTACATAGTGCCTGCGGTTTTATCTCCATACTTTTAACTTGGCCCCAATACTTACCAGAACTGAAACGAAGGAATTGTTTATTTACTTACTTACAGCAAACATTTGTGTGAGTGATATAGTGTTGTAACGTAACTAATGCTTCATTTTCTTTTTCCCCTTTTAGGTGGGTGACAAGAAATGACAGCTTTGCACCAGATGATCCATGTTTCTTCTGTGATGTTTGTTTTAAGATGCTTCACTATGACAGTGAGGGCAATAGACTTGGAGACTTTGTTGCATATGCATATGTTGACCCTGGAACATTTAATTAAAGATCGAACATTGCCGCAAGAAACTGCACACCAAACGTTGCATAACTAAAGGGCAAGGACAGGAAATGAACTTTATAATTCTTCGGACTGTAATTAATGAAGCGGAGACTTCCTGTAGAACATTTCTTTTTTCTAGATAAACCGCATGCACATGCTACTGTGACACACAATACCAAGCAGATTTGGCGTTCTGCTGTAATAGTGCTGAATAAATGGAGCTTCCTATCATGTTGTTGTACTTGTTTGTAAAACATTTGGTGCACCAGTTGTAATATGTCACACCAGCCAGAATACATTGTCTAATGAACTTTGAGTCACAAACAAATAAATGTTTAAAGCTCAAGTCCTTTTGAAGAAGACGGGAATCATAGAAATTCTTTAAACAGTTTGGTTATACCGCTGTTTCAGGAGGTTGGGTCACTGGCAACCAAAACAATAAAAATTAATAAGCCTGCCCCCTAACTTTAGTTTTGTGGAGCAGTACAAAAGCCAATAATAGTGGTGGGACGTGTCTCTCAATGGAATCCAAGAAACAGATTTTACAGTAAGTACAAACATTGTAGTTCCTTTATTGCCATCGAAGGACACAGGCATTGTATACATTCTTAAACAGTTGGGATGTCTAAAAGCAGTCCAGCTGAGGTGGACTAGAACCACTAACAAATCCAACAAATGTGGAGATTATACTACAAGATGATCTAACTGAAGCAATGCCTGAATTAAAGCTAGATTAACCACTTGCTGACCAGGGTGTTAAACCCCCTTCCTGGCCAGGCCATTTTTCAGTATTAAAGGAGAACTATGAGGTGAGTGCTTTTCACTCACCTCATAGTTCTAGCCGACCTGTGACAATGAGACTGTCACAGGTCGGCTCAGTAGATCGGGAGGTGAGCGAACACATACCGGCGTTCGCTCACCTCTCGATCCTGTCACGGCTCTCTGCCGTGACAGGGGAGGGGCTGGATTCTCCCCGCTCCGATCCGCCAGCGTTGACTGGCGGAACGGACGGGGGAGGGTACAGCTGGCTCTGCCTCTAGATAGGCAGAGCCAGCTGTCAGTCACACAGCTGGGCGGATCCCGGCACAATTGTCCGGATCCGCTTCAGCTGTGGCATCTCAGTATACCGCGAGCAGCAGCTTGCGGTATACTGAGCTTGGGGTAATGGGAGGATGCTAGTTTGTGTCCTCCCGTTACCCTAAGGAGAACTATGGGGAAAAGCCTTAACCCCATAGTTCTCCTTTAAGCGTTGAGGTACTTTGACTGACATTAATTCTGTCATCCAACGCTGTACTGAAATGAATTTTATACCATTTTTTGGGGACAGATAGTTTTCTTTTGGTGGTATTTAATCACCACTGGGGTTTTATTTATTTTTTTACTATATAACAAAAAAGTACCCTAAATCTTGAAAAAAAAAAAAACCTGTTTCCCTTTTGAAATGTTATGAAACATTTATTATCACCCCAATTTTTTTGTAAAATATAAAAGACTGGGTAACATCGGGTATATAGAAACCAAACATGTTACGCTTTAAAATTGTGCGTGCCCGTGAAATCGCAGAAAAGGACCACACCCAAAATTGTCCATAGGCGACGCTTTAAAAGCTTTTACCGCTCATCAGTTCAGTGTTATCTGCTTCATCAGCTTTTAACTGGCATCTGTAAGCAGAGAGCGACACTGAATGCAGGAAGTGATGTAATATACATCACTTCCTGCATTCAGGGACCAAGAAGAGAGCAAAGGGAATGTTGTACTGATCTCCCTTTGGTCTCCACTGACAGCGTCGCTGTGCCGGTCCCAGCACCGGGCACAGTGGATCTCGGGACCGTCAGGATAGAAGGAAAACTGGATGGGGGAACATCTCCTGCCCTCTGCCATAACGTTGTCAATGGGAAGAAGGTTTACCTTCCAACATGACAATGACCGAGAGCACACAGCAAAAATGACCACACAGTGGTTAAAGGAGAAAAAGGTGAAATGTCCTTGCATGGCCTAGTCAGAGTCCAGACTTAACCCCATTGAAAATCTGTAGCATGACTTGAAGACTGCAGTCCACAAATGGTCACCATCAAATGTAACTGAACTTGCAAAGTCTAGATGTACAAAGTTAGTAGAGACATATCCCAACAGACTAAAGGCTGTAATTAAAGCAAAAGGTAGTTCAACAAAATATTGACACAAGGGGGTGGTCCTTTTCCAACTCGGTGATTGTCTGATTTTTTTTTTTTCCTTCCCTGACATGTTGGTGTTATCTGTTCCACTGAGTAGATACAGCTGGATAAAACAAAAACTGTGTCTGTCTTTATTTCAGGCTGCAAAGCAACAAAATGTGATTATTTTAAAGGGGGGTGATTCTTTTCTACATCCACTGTAGCCAAAATGTTCTATGCATATAACACAGACATCACTCATATGTTTGACACAAGCTTAGATGCTTGTAAAAGATCATTAAAGTTTAGGGTTCCAGATAGAGCTGCAGCTAACGATTATTTTCAAAATCGATTATTAAGTTCGATTAATCGGTTAATCGGATAAACAATAAAAAAAAATGTAAAATGGCTCCAGTGATGGACTACTAGTTTGTATTGAGATTGTAGTCCATCACAGGAGCAAGCTTGGAGCGGTGGAAAAAAATAGTGTGGTGTGCAATATAGTGAAAAGGAAAGTGTAAAATTATACAGCAATGAATGCAGAATGGCACCGGCTATAGAGGACTACAAAGCCCAGCAATAGTACATTATACAGCACAATGCAGAATATCACCAGCTATAGAGGACTACAACAAAAACATTTTCCCCAAAAGTTCTAGCACCACAAGGATTTATCTTTGTGATGGAGTGGGCCAAATTAAGGCATTTAGTCCAGTGACATTGTTTCACAAAGCAAGGTTTCTGCCAATAGAGGACAAAAGTCACTCCAGTTACCTCACACTAAGGTCTCGTTCACACCTAGGCGTATTGCATATGCGCGTCTGTCGCACGTTTTTTTTACCGCGACATACGCGCGTTTCCGAAGGCTACTTGGCTGTATCCCAATGGAAACGCGCAACAAAACGGCCCAAAGTAGTACCTGTACCTTTTCAGGCGTGGGCCGTTTTGTAGCGCGTTAGGGACGGGCGGAAATACGCCAAGATGGGTACGAGACCATTGAATACAATGGGATTTATATTTTTGAGCGTTTTGTAGAGCGTTCCTCGAGCGTAGAACGCGCTACAAAACGTTCAGGTGTGAACGAGGGCTAAGGGAAACCAACTGTCTGTTCATGAAATTCCTACAGGTAAGAATAAAAGGCCCAGTATGGTCAGACTTTGCCTCTGCAGTGACTGATGCTTGAGCTCTGAGGTCTTGTGCACAAATTGGAAAAAAAAAAATTGGAAGTGGACATAAAAAGCTTTGTGAACCCAGCAGAGCTGTAGAAGACTCTGATGAAGAGGACCCTATAATAACAGGAGTCCCAGAATCTAGGTTACATGTGTTGGTTCCTTCTGTGGATACCAAGAAATCGACCCTAGAAGCAATAGAGAAATATGGACTGAGGCCACATGTTCTAGCAGGACTGCCCTGTGCATCAGTCAAACCGTATTTTGCGGTCCATAAGACGCACCGGACCATAGGACGCAGGGAGGTCCGGCGTGCCTTATGGAGCACTTGACAGACTGTAGCTTCTATGACAGAAGCTGTGACAGAAGCTGCAGTTAGTGACCGCTGAGACAGGTGGCGCTGTGATTACAGCACCACGGTCTCAGTGATCACAGAGCAGACGAAGAACGTCCGTTCGTCTGCTCTATGGTGATCTCGATCGTCGCCGCTGCTCGGTTTTAATACGAGTGATCTCATTAGATCACTCGTATTAAACGAGCAGTGGCTTCTACTACTCGCCCGACACTGCATGTCTCGGGCGTCGGGATTCGCTCCATAAGACGCAGGCACATTTTCCCCCCTCCTTTTGGGGAAAAAAAAGTGCGTCTTATGGAGCGAAAAATATGGTAAATCAAGGCAACTGGACGTGCTGTATTTTTCTTGGCGTTTTGCCCATCTGACTAGCTTTTTCAGTTCTGAGTGACTTGTGCAAAAATTCTCTGGGAATAAATATGGTGAATATCACTCCAATCAACATAGTCTGTTTACTAGGAATGCACTGATATCGTTTTTTCGGTATAGAGTACGAGTACTGATATTTATATTTCAGTACTTGGTAATTCCGGTAGCATGAGCCAATCGGGAAGCCGTGCAACGTGTCATTACAACCCGCCCAGCTTCTTGATTGCTTGGGAAGCCGGCTCCATGCTGATGGGCCAGGGAGGCGGCTTCCCAGCCAATCGGCACGACCCGCCAAAATTGATCATTACCCAGGGCCCCCGGCTTCCTGATCGGCTGGGAAGCCGGCTCCATGTTCCCTTGCTGCACTGCCGGTCAGAGGACATCCCCCCTCTGACCAGAAGTTCTGGTATCGGGATAAGTATCGGAGCATTTGGGCAAGTATAAGTACTCACCCAAATGCTCGGTTATCTGTGTGTCTCCACTGTTTACCATGACCAGTATAAGGTCAGAGACCTCAAGGAGATAAGGTGTTGATTGCATCTGCATGATTGGAGCTAGTAGGTGTTAAGCAGTCCAGTGGAGGGGTTAAAACAGCATTGTAATTAGCAAACAATAGATGTCTCAACTCCCCTCCACATTCAAGTTTGGCTTCTCCATTTTAACATAAATGGCATATTTTAGACCTCTTGAACTAGTCCTCCTCTCTATCCAGGATGTGTACTTGACTGTCTTCAAAAGGAGTTGCTTTAGATGTAGGTACACTGCCGTACCCTGACCAGAGGGTTTGGCTCTTCTATGCTGTGCCATATGCTGCTGTTTTGTTTACCTGACATACAATTCTGAGCACTCCTCACTGCACTGGACTGGACTGCATACACAAGGTTCATCTAAAGTTGTTCATCGGGTCTTTTGCGTGAACCAGTTGTTGCCTCAGTGTGTTCCTAAGTTTAAAGCAGACAGGGATGTGATGATTATAAAAAAATCCTTCTGAGAGCTACATATGGGATGAGCTTAGTCTTTGGTTTGTCATGCATTTCACCCTCACTGGTAGTCTTGGTATTCTTTCTGTTCTGACAAAGGCCAGGTCTGGATAACCACAAGTTTTATGGGGCCCCTCTGAGGTGTTTGCAGTGCTTCACCTTAGCCTATGTGCTGGTGGGGATTTTCTCTGCCACGTGGTGTAGAGTTCTGATGACTACCAGTGTGTGACCTAGACAGTGGCGACTCTAGGAACAATATGTAGGGGGGGGCACATAAGATACAACAGTCAAATCTGGGGGGGGCACTAATAATTTTCATTGCAACTGATAAGGATTTAGCTGCACAGTGCACACTCCCGACAGTACAAAGATCTTTAATTCATGGCATTGCACCCAGGATATCTCTCTCTCTCCCCCATAGGCTTGAAAAGCCTTTACACTTCTTTGGTTTCCACAAAACAGCACCAGTATTCTTACAGTGTATTTAGAAACAAACACTGATAGCTGGTCCCGCTGATTGATGCAGAACCACAGGGCATACTAGGTACAAGCAAGGTACTTACATAAAGGTTTTTGGGGGTACGAGGTCCACAACTGTGGTAAGTGCGACTATTTACATGCAGTAACGTATGACATCCTGTACTGCTGTGGCGTTAGCACAGAAAACTATTATTGGGTTGTTGTATTGAAGTATAATCACTTTGTAATGGATAAATGTCCAGGGTAAACGAATAAAAAGGCTTCAATAAGCCAGACTGAATTGTGCAATCCTAGTCTATAGGCATATGTTCCCTCCATATGATCTTCTATAAAATGATGATACAGAATGTAAAACACAAGTAGTTTTCCCCCCAAGTTTTATTGGAGCCTTCAATACAAAATCACAACAAGTGTCTGGCACAGCATATTATTTACAGAGCAAGCTTACTTTGCACAGTATAGAACCATAAAAATGTATTTAAAAAAACAAAGCGGAAGGAAGGAACCACCTTATTAACATTGGTTGAAAAAAAACCTATCCTGTTCTTGTATGCACAAATAAAACATGGAGCTGAGAACAAGGACAGCATTAGGCAAATCTGGACACACATGGTTTCAGCTAAAAGAAGTTTACCAACAACTGAGTATTGTGAGGGTCTACCTCGACAATCTATTGAAATTAGAGCCAATTATGTGCACTCACACTATATACACAGACGGTACATTTGTTGATCTTATAGATCAAATCAAAAACGAAATGTGACTGTATGTAGCTATGCGAGCATTCTAAATGAGTAGTCTTATTAGAGCAGAATAAAGCTAATACCAAAGTTGGAAACCTTAGACAGATTTTAACCCTGCTCCTATGAGTGGGCCACCCCTCTGCTTGTCCCAGTGCAGTACGAGTTTGCAATGGAATGAATGGACATTATGATGTGCATGTATAGTAGGATGTGCGGCACTGAGCAGGCAGCGCAGCAAGATCTTAGTTTAGTGGAATAGCAGAATATGTAGCTTGTCAGGGATGCTGGAGGAAGACATTAGAATTAACGTAACCTTTCAAGGATAAAAGCAGTTACACCATATGCTAGGGAAATTAGCGTATTGTACTGGTGTAAAAGACAGTAGTTGCAGTGACAAAAATTGTCCTCCTTAGCTCACACCATTAACATCAAAGTTCATTGATAGGAGGGTACAGGCAGTCCTATACCAGGCCCCCTTGGGACAGGCTGTATTACAAAAACTAGTCCAGGAGAGAGGCCAATGATTCCAGGTCAGTGTCTGGTCTCCCCTGCACTGGAACCGGGGTGTGAATACACTATGCTCCCAGTAGGTGGCAATAAAGAGGCAGTCACCGAGCCAAGTCCAGAAGTATTCTCCTGTCAGAGAAAATGATGGGGTCCCCGTTCAGGTCATGACTGCAGTGTCGATTAAGAAGTTTTGTCACGTTTTAGCCGCACAATATTCCTGGGGATTCTCCTTGGTCTCTTGACAACTACTATTAACGTTCTCCTCTCTGCCCAAAAGATAAGCGTTCCAAAATAGGTGTGGGTAGGGCTGGAACTCGAGGGGAGTAAAGATGGAGTGGGGCTCAGGTGTCATTGAGTGCAATCCTTGGCTAACTTTCCTATTCAAGTGTCTTCTGGTTCCTGGCCGAAGAGAATAATCATCTTGCACAAGATAGGAAGTTGAATGTTCACTAGAGACAACTGAATATTGGCTCCCTGTATGTATGGCACTGGCAGAGGATTGCAAGTGCTTGACGGCTCCCATTCCCACAGCCCAGTCCTAGTGGTGTAGGTAAAATAATAGTATGTGTATCAATGAATGTGTCAGTGTACACGGAATTCCATGTCTGGCCCTATCAGGTAGGCTGCACAAGGATTCAAGATCCTTGAATCCACTTGCACTTGGGACACACAAAGGAGAGGTCTGTGATATGCTGTACAAATTTGCTCTAGGAGTCAGCAAATGCTCAACACACATCAGTGTATCCAAACTGCATGCTTGGGGCAGAAGACAGACTCAGCCACAGTAGTTGCTACCTTGTTGCAGAGGACACTGCAAGCTGATTGCAAACCACTTCTGGATTCAATACTTTTAGGCAATGACATGGAACAAGTATGCTGATCACAAAAGTGGCATCGGAGCTCAGAAACGGCAACCTTGTACTGGTCAGTGACTTTGAAAGTACTAAAGCCACTGGAGATCAGTCAAAGTAGTATTTTCAGAAGTCATCATTGGCTGACTTCATTTTTCCCCTCACAACAAGTTTACTTTATCATATTGAGAATTATATAGAGAAACCCTAGATAGAAATACTGGTTGTGGTGGTCAACACTGACACCGTGTGGAACTTTCATTGCTAGCTTCTAAAGTAAAGCACTCAGTTGTAAGTTTTCTTATGTATTGTAAACCGTATATAACAACGGGCTTATGCTAAACAGAACTATATTGTGACATAGTGACATTTTTCAAAGGCCAAACTAAAAGCACATAAATCTGAGAACAACCATGTCCTTTTGTACCTCAGTCTCCTTGTGGTAACCTATATCCAATTAAAACTTAGGGCAATAACAAATCTCTGAGACGGAGTGATAAAAAAAAACAAAAAACATTTCTTCTGCTAAATCGAACAGATCATGATGGGTTTTCTGAGGATTCAATCTGCACAAGATTTGTAATGGCGCTGGATCAATCCAAGTTGGGGTTTGATTTATGTAAATCCAAAGAGTTACTTCTTCTCTGAGGAGGTTGATCTATAAACTGACATAGGAGACTTAGTTGCTGTACTTAGGCCCCTCCAAATCGCAGCCAACAGACCACTCAACAGATACTCTTATCTTTACTCATACAAGTGGGATATCTGGTACAAATGGTCAAAAAGCTTGCAGTAAATTTTAAAGGTTTATCAAAAAATACAACCGGCGTGTTTTAGGGGAAGGGCTACCCCCCCTACTGCAGGGCCTACCCATAGAGTGTGATTAAATGTGGATATTGATTACAATGCCTGCTTTGAGGCTGAGAAAAGATAAAGGTAATAGCATATTCACAATGAATGAAAATGGCCGGCTACACCAGGATACACTGTTACCTCAAATTTTTGTTTTTAAGCCTCAAAGCAGGTATTTTCGTGAATCTCATCCACATTTAAAAATCACACACCATACGATTAAGCACTGAAACATGTAAACTGTATTTATTTCATAATCATTCCAATTCTACTTTAAGCTACCTGACCATTTGTTTCAGGCGCTAACTTTAGTCAAAAACAGGGGCAAAAAGGAAGGGCAATTTTGAAAAACATACTGCATTTAGCATTTTTGACAAAGACAGACTTTTGTATTTAAAGCTTTTTTTTCCTCCAAAGACCAACATGATAAACTTATCTTCATTCGAGCATACGGGAATTCTAACGTGGTTTAATGATATAAACCTTCTAGTACGGTTTCTCTTAAAATGTACGTTTCCCGCTTCCATGGTAAAAGATCACCCTGACTGTTTTATTGGCTATAATGAATACTAACAGGTTTTGCTCTTGTCCTTGGTGTTTATACCATCTGCTCACAATGTACACCTTACTAAAGGCAGAAGCTTGTTCTACTTTTAGAAAGGTTAACAATATATCTGATAAAAGGTTCAACAGTTTACATCAGCATTTGTGAACTCTGCTCTTTATGTACCCCAACAAGACACATTTTCAGCTTTTTGTTTTAGGCACACACACGTCATTTAAAGTGTAACAGCAACCATCAATTTTTTAAAGATTTGGCTAGAGTGCTTCAGTTAGAATCACTATCTTTTTTTATTGGGAATATTCCACCTCATTCTGTGTCTGGTTAGCACTGTAACTGGCCAAAAAGAGTTAGAATTTCCTTAACAGAAAAAAAAAAAACCACAAAGCAAAATATCC